ACTTTTTTTTAACTTTTGTACATCATACATAATGAATAAAAATAAATAATGCTTTACATACTCCTGTGTCATTGTGTGTTTAGTCTCATGGTTCTAAGTTCTTACATTTTCATTGGTTACACCACTACCTTATAATTTTTAAAAATTTTCTATAATATACCTGTACAAAATGAATAAAAATAGATAATGCTTTACATACTCCTGTGTCACTGTGTTAAATCTCATGGTTCCAAAGTTCTTACATTCTCATGGGCTACACCATTACATTATACTTTTTAAAGTTTTCTTTATTATACCTGTACAAAATAAATAAAAATAATGCTTTACATACTCCTGTGTCACTGTGTGTTAAGTCTCATGGTTCTGAAGTTCTTACATTTTCAAGGGTCACACGGTTACGTTACCTTTTTTAAATTTTCTATATTATACATAATAATGATGAAATAAGAAACACATCAAATCTCAATCAAACAAATCATCTATGTAAATTTCGTCTAGGTATTCATCGTCTGCAAATTCATTTTTAATTAATTTAATTCATTACTCGTTATTTAATTTTTTTTAAATCTTGTCCGTCATATCGTTCATAAATTCTGTCTCTTATACACATCTAGATGTGTATAAGAGACAGCGGGAAATCCACTCACGAAGCTAAGTGGGGTAGGCCTAGGCCGGGGCCTGCACAGTCAGCACCATTTTTTTAAGGAATAGTTTTAATACATTGTACAATGTGTCTGGGTAAGGTACTGACGGGACTACACTACAGTTGGTAATGATAACTTATCATTGCTATCGATTTCGTGTCGATGTAACGACGATAGCAAACATCCTCGTAATCGTATGTCTTTCCCTCATCCATTCCAAAGAGGCACATCCGTTCCTAGCCTAGTTAAGACACAAGTTTGTCAGCTATAGTTCGGTTATGACTGTCTAAAACTATCCATAATTTGTTACAAGTAACAATCTTCAAGAATCTGGTTGCTGTAACTAGAATTGGAGTTTCATTAGCAATTTCTCGCGGTGAAAACAACACTTTGTATTACAACACTGGCACACTGTCCGCCGCTAGTCGCCATGTTGTTGTTTACTGTTGTTGGCTGTACCACAACACGTGAAGTTATTGTAACAAAATCAATTTAATAGTAGTCTAAAAAATATTATTCTGTAATTAAAATACACATTATATCTAATTATAATTTTTAAATTTTTTAAAGCAGTAATACGAAGTTCGCAAATAATAAACTACGTATCAAAAATACAATATTCGAATGAGTACAGTGACGTTTACAAAATGTCGTGTGCTAATCTAGCGCAAAGAACTTTCAATTTGGTAAGTTTAAACGTCATTTTCTCGTATTTGCAGAAGTTCTGATGGTCGAACTTTTTTTTTATGCTTTTAAATAATATTATAATAATTATCATAATGAGTGAAAGTATTATGAAAATTTCGGAACGGGACTGAACGTTAGGATTTTCACCCCATGGCCTATTTCCCTCTTTTTCTGAAATTTCCATTTTTTTTTTTATAAATATTTTATATTATTGGTGTGCAGCAGATTCGCTAAACAAAGTATAAAAAAAAGTCTCGCTTTATGCGTGGAATTCAGCACTACCAACTTTACACTGAATCATGCACCTTGTTAATACAGTACCTGGATTTATATTCCTGGGTGAAGAGAGGCAGATGCAGATGTATTGTCTTGCCCAAAGACAAAAGTAGTGTGAAATATCAAAATTTTGGTTTGTCTTTTATCAACTTTAATATGATCATTATGCTGATTACAGTACGTACCTTTTAGTTTTCTGTTGAATATATTCATTAATATTATTATTATTTTTGTAATTGCAAACAAAAATTACATCTCTGTTGCCAAATATCAAAACATTTTCAGTCATTTTTATTTTACATAAATTAAAGCAAGTTAAACATAGTTAAACAACAAGCAATTAAGGAGATATGAGATTGTAGGTGAACTATACTGTATTGCTGAGTAGTTAAAAATGACATTTCTGGTCATTGTAGAAAAGATTTTCCATCCATTTAATAGTGAAAGCAACAAGTAGATGTTTGAAAACTCCATTTGGGGCATAAAGCTAAACAAGTTCTTGTAATCTCGAAAGCTCCAAGGAGGGCAGTATAATAGTGGCAGTAGAGTATATTGGGCTCTAACGGCTGCCCATACAAAAAAGTTCTATTAATTAATCAATAAGCCTAGTGATTCTATTACCAACAATCTTTATTTTGGAATTTTAAGCCTTTTTTATGTAAAATTATTATTACTCCCAGCATGTCAGACAACTATACAGAGCTGTAGATAAAATAAAATTTTAGTACAGGTTTGAAACTTGTGAAAAGTTTCAGATAAACGTTAATATCATGCGCTTCTAGCATGCAAGTATAGCTGATTCAGTATTTAATACAATTCTATGTCTCATGTTTATTGTACAGTTGTATTTAAAAATAATTGTAATAGTTTACAATATGAGTCGACAGTTCTATTGTACCACCATGACTGTTGTTCTGTCGTGTGACTGACTATAGAATTGCAGAAAATCAGGTCAGCATTTTTTGTTTGTTTCTTTTTTAATTTTTTCAACAAGTTACTTCTTGCTCATGTTACAAATGGAAGAAATAAAACTTTAGAAATTAAAATTTTAGAACATACATTAATAAAGACATTGACCAAAATCAGCCATAGATCTGTATGGATATTGGTTCATGATATAGGTTTTGTTTCTTTCAAAATCAATTTAATTTGACTTACACTAGTCTCTAAAAAATTAAACAATATATTGCAAAAATCTAAGCTCATTCTGAAGGATGAGAGATCCATTAAGTGCATTAAATGGCCAATCTGTGCAGAAATTATGGGCTTACAAAGGATTATTTATGGATCTATAATCAGAAAACACAATAAATAATAGAAGACTATACACTGTTCCCCCGAGGATCGCTTGTAGAATAAAGGCCAGAAATGGTTTGGGGCGCGAGTCTAAAAATATCGTCATCATCACGTAATGTCATAGAAAATAAAAGGATCCGTAAAGTGGGCTGGCATTTGAATGTGAAATGGTTTGGGGCTCGAGTTGAAAGATATTGTGTGTGTCACAGTATTACGTAAAATCATATAATATGAAAGAAGCCGAAAAGTGGGTTGGTATTTCAATGACCTGAAAACAATATAATCAGGAAATTAGATCATGCGAACACTAGATATCTGTAGATTAGGATACCGTCAGTCTAGTACTGTCAAACAAATTTAAAAATTGCTGAAGCCTGACCACTGGTAGAGCACTATTCATAGTCATTGTTTATATACTAACAGCACATTATGTACATTTCAATGATTTAGATTTGACAAACATATTAAAAAAACAAAGGGAACACACACATAAAACCTTCTACGTGAATCTATAATACAATGAATTTGTATTTTAATATACATAAAATCCTTGATTTGCTGTCAGAAATGTATGAGTTATGCAAAAACAAAGACACATTAAATTGAAACATTTTGAGCTAAAAGCCAAACACATTGAGCGAGCCAAATGGCCGAGCGGTTAAGGTTGCGGAATGGTGGTCTATATCATGCAGTTTTTTAAAGCTCATTTATCATGCTTCCCTTTACTGACAGGCCTACCTCTAATTAAAGAGCCCTCCAATTAAAGACCACTTTTAGTGTATATTTTCATTATTTGAATTAGAGACCAAACCAAAGACCATTGAAACTCATAAAAGTGGTCTTTAATTGGAGAGAGACCATTAATTCTAAAATTTAACACTTGGAATACATGGCAGAGGGATCACCCACCACATTAAAACTGGAAGTCAAACTTAAAACCATAGCACACAAATAATGTCAGACATGTATGTACAAAACATTAATTCAAACTATAGTACAGAATCGGCATCGCTTTTAAAAATATGTAGTAATGTAAAAAAAAAGCAGAGAATTAATATCTCGGGCAATTTAACTTATATTTTAAACTAAAGCATGGCCAAAAAACAAAAAAATCTTGTGTTGACAACCAAATTTTGGGAAAATCCAAAAAATGGGTAGGTCCGTAGGAAAAGTTTATTTTTTTTAATACCAATAATGTGTTCATGCCTAAAAAGTAGAAAACACACAAAAATACACAAAAGACCATTTTTATTGAAGAGCAAAACGATTGAATAACAGTATTGCATCACCTACCATCCAGGAAGATAGGCCTATTCCAGCCTTTTTAACTCATTGAAAAAAAATGTTCACTGTATAGTCAAAACAGAAGAAAAATAATGAAATAAAATTCTGAACCTCAATTTCAGGCATGGCCAATGCAATATTTTTTTTTTTTTGGTTTGGCCTAATGATAGTTCATGAAATCAGATTTTGATGAGTAGTTCTTTGGTTGTTTTCCAGGGTTTTAAAGTCCATAATATATGCTGGAAAACATTTAACATTATTTGGAGTTTCATTTTAATCAGGTTTTCTTTTAATTAAAGACCACCTCCAATGAACAACCACTATTCAGTAGTCTCATAATAACAAATGGCTTTTATCTTTTTTTATTCTAATTTGAGAATAAAGAACATGGGAACCCCAGTGTTGTATTTTGAAAGGTGGATGTTCTTGTTTAGTGTATAGACAATGAACGACTATTACACGCAACATACAATCAACACGTTTATTCAACACAATCGGTACATACGTTCTGTGTACGTTCAGCTATTCTCACATAGCGAGAGCGTGTAGTGATAAATGCTGCCCTCAATATACTACACCCAGTCTCAAAAGTGGTTTTTAATTGGAGGGAGATCTGCATTTACTAAAACAGTTTAATGTATATTTTATCTACACAACTAAAATGCTTTTTTTTTAACTTGAAAATGTACTTGTTGCTATTTCTTTATTGGACGAACAAAAAATTTAATCTGAATCTGATTTAATTTTTTTTCCTATTAAATTTGTATGAATTACAATACATGAACAATTTAAAATTTCAATCGAAAAACTTACCGGAGTTGGATAATTTCTCATGGAGCTTGTCTTCTTTCCAGAAATGAAGTTACTTGTTTCAGAAACAAAATCTAAAAAAATGAAGATACATTCTTGAATTATTAAAAACTATGATGAAATACAATTGCGGTGAGCCAAATTGAATTTGTGGAATAAAGAAAGAATTGAATTGAATCGAATAAGTCATTACAATAACCAAACTATAATTCCTATCATTAATAATAATCATATTTATTGTTCAACTAAACTAAACCTTAAAATAGATTGGGTAAATTATTAACAGTATATAAATTGTATTTAATCACTATCTTGTTTTATACATTTTAGTCTGTTCATTTTCTTTTTGGTTTAATTTTTTTTTCTTATGTTGTTGCTAAGCGCCTCAAGGTTATGACAACGCGAGATGCTATATAAATCCGGAATTACTATTATTATTTTTATTATTATTATTGTTACATGTATTAATATAAAATTTGATGAAAAGAGCATACACATAGCTATTTTTATTGAAGAGATTAATTTTTCCATTAGTGCTTCTATTAATATTGTGATCACACAATTCTCATACTACACATGTTGTAGGAGCAGTTTAGCACAGCGTTTGCAGTTCTGCTCCTTCTCAACCATGAGGTCGAAGGTTCAATCCCTTTGCTGTGTATTTCACTTATGGCCTTAGGCAAGGCACTTTACCTACGGTAGTCTCTCTCGACCCAGGAGTACAAGTGGGTACCTAGTATGTTCAAACACAAAATGCACTGACGTATACAGCTGCAACATTATGGAATTCTCCCCAGAGACCTGAGTAAGTGTTCCATATGTGCCTGATCCAATGACCGGTTGGGGGGTGGGGTAATAATGTTAAGCG